GTCATATAGTCACATATATGTCAATTATGATAATTTAATAATTTAAAATTTAAATAATAATAAAATATTTATTAAAAAGAATTATGATTAAACGCGTAACAATATGATATTTATTTACATTGTCATTCACCATCACATCCTGTAGTTCTGTAGAATATTCGAATAGTTCATTCGTAGACCTAAATTAGAGATTACACCAATGACGAGGCGAGAAATTTTCAATGGGAGAGGGGGAGTGTTATAACTAATAATTTATAACATATAAAATATATAATAATATATTTCAACGAATTGTCACGGCGCTAATATGAAAAACTCAAATGTTTATAGTATGTTTCTCAACTTTTCAAGCTCTCCAAAATCGTTTCTAACTTATAATTGTGTACATTATTTGTTTGGTAAACTCTATCATCGTGTGATGAATCATTATACTACCACCACCAAATACGGATTATAAATTTTTCCAAATTCCACAAAACGCTGAAGAACAAATCGATCAACGTGTCTATACAATCCGGGCACTAGACGAGGAATTGTCGCTGAATTACTAACTTTATTCGATCGGCACAACAAATTGATTCCGATTGTTTTTAGAGCTGCACTTGACTAAATTCCAGCTGATGACTACAGGGTCGTAGTTAGAGCGGACTAAACACCTGTCAACCAACACGAAAGACGATACAATGCACCAACATTTAATGAGGTGACAATCGTTATGGACGGCGAAGAATTCAACTCGCGTGATATAAATATATAATTCTTCGTCGTAGGAATGGTAATGTTCAGTGAGTCACAAAAACTCTCATACGACGGATTGCAATATCAAGGTTATCTATGCGAATTATACTATTAATTTAGTTTGATGATGCGTGAAACCGATGAAAATCATATGATGAAGTGTTGACAGTGGTTTCATCAATATATCGTCGATACCTATGTATACGAAAATCGAAACCGAATGACTTTTTGATTGAATCAAATGCCACTGCGTTCAAAAGAATAAATTCAGTAACGTGATGCAATTTTTAATCATGGTAATGTAAATCCTAATGAATTGGGGAAAGTTTCAGTTTATCGGCAACATTCATAAAGAGCCCACGGYACATGCATGAATATGCCCAAGATTCAATTRCATACGTTCGCGCATATGGCCGTCCTGCAGATCTGTGTATTACWTTCATATAATGTAATCCTACGGAAGAAATTAAAGAACTTTTGTTACCCAAACAATTATCTTTATTTTTGAATTATTATTTGAACAAGACAATATATGATAAATGTCCATATTCCAACCTAATCAACACTTCAATTAAACTCTACCTGATATGGTRAACATATTAACATCATCCTTTACACAGAATATACTGGCAGCTTGACAAATTTGTTTAGAGTTTTGACAAATATCTTAACATTTTATTTGTATATTACAGTTTATAATTGTTATACATAATATAAGCTATAAATATATTATTCAAATGATTTATAGCATGAAAATAAAATAAAAAATGTGTTGAGTAATGAATTATGTTATTAGTTCAGTACTACAAAAACCAATAATGTATTATTTCGAAATGTTTTTATTTTTATGTATCAAAAATTAGCAGAAATAAAATAATAAAATATTAATTTATCATTAAATTCATAAAATATACGTTTGATCATAATAATATAAATAGGCACTACACAAGGACATAAATAATAAAATATTTAGATAAATAGTAATTTTTATGTGTATTGTTATTAATTATTATTAAGTAAAAAAAAAATTTCCAACAAAAAAATATTTGCACAAAGAGCAAACATATTAATTATTAAGCTTGTGCTTAAAGTTTTAACTTTTGATCCAATTAGATTATTAGGATGTTAGTTATATTATATGTGCAGTCTTTCCTCTGGATCTGAAAATAAATTTATTATCTTAATAAGAATGATGATAAATTTGGTATATAAATTGTTACTTACCGGAGAAATTAGTATGTAGAAACTTTTAATATCCTCTAGTATTTACCTAAAATAAATTCAAATAAATAATGATTCAAATAAATTTAWTATTTATGTTTTTGTACACAAATCAATACTTACAATGTCATCAATTTTCAAAATGCTGCGTACAGTTTCTGAAGCCAAAGTTATGGCACTAATGGATACCAACAATGGTTGTACAACATTTTCTTCTAGAATATTTGTTATTGCTCCCTGAAAAATACGATAAAATAATTAATTTAGGCATATAATATAGATATTTATAAATTATAACAATTACCTTTCGGACATTAATACCCGCAGTAACTTCGCCTTGAGAATGTCTATTACGTAACTCAGTAACTGTAGTGATGGGGTTAAGACCAGCATTTTCAGCTAATGTTAAAGGTATGACTTCTAAAGCTTGAGCAAAGGCTCTATAACAGTATGCATCTACTCCAGTAACTAATCTTGCCAGTTCAGCTAATTTTAAACTGATTTCAATTTCAGGTGCACCACCTCCAGCTAACAATGCTCTAAAATTATCCAAAACGTAAATATAAAAATACAAAATTGTTAATACTTTTTAATAACTCACCTGTGTTTTACCAAACATCTGATAACACACAATGCATCGTGAATTGACCGTTCAGCTTCTTCCAAGACCAATTTATTAGAACCTCTCACTATAATACTAACTGTTCTACCTGGGTTGTTGATGCCAGTAATTTGTACAAAATGACTGTTACCAGTCATGACATCTTCTACCAAATCAGCTGATACAAGGTTTTCAGCAACAAAGTGATCAAGACTTGCAATTGGTCTACAATTCAATGTCTAGAATATAATATTAACAAATTATTTTCATATAGAAATTTAATTCTTAAATTTCAAAAACATACCTTGCAGACATAATCAATATCTTCTCGCTCTATATTATTAATAACCATACATTTTATTTTGTCTAAGAAATGTATAGCCAATTCAGATAATGCATCACGCAATATTGACTTTTGAATCAATAGAACATTACAACCAGCTTTTTTAATTTGTTTAACAATGTTCAAAATATAAGCACGTTCTTCGCGTAATACACGATCCATAGCAGTGTAATCGGAAACCACCACATTATAATCCATCTAAAACAAAAACAATGTTTATTAATAAAAATTTACTGGAAATAATCATTCAATGACGTACAAATTATATAACCTGATGGCATAAAATTATATTATTAATTGCTCATTTAAAAGTGGGGCATAAATTACACCACAAGACTGAATTATAAGATAACTCCATAATTCAAATTAATTTTAACCAAATTAACTCTCAACCAAGATACACTTTTACCTCTTCTGATTAAGTCAGTATTTCGATTACATTTAAAAATTAAATGAACACTATCAGTAAATTCAATTCCTTATCAGGAATATATTACTATTATTTGTGTTAAATTATAACAAAGAACCTAATGATTTGATAATAWTATCATGTAATTTTAATATATTTTAAAATTAAAATCATTGTAGTATTTAGCTAAAAAAAAAGAGATTATTCCTTGTTTATTGTATATTTTAATATTTATTTATAAATTATTAGTTGCTATATTATTTATAATCA